AAAAACTAGCTATGATGTTCAAAACACAAGCCTATATAATTTCCACAACTCTAGTTTTTTCTCTTTAATAAATTAAAACCACAAATATTAATAAAAGAAAAAAAAAAGAAAAAAAACGAAACACTTATATTCATCACTTCATAATTTATGTTGAATTATATTTAAATTCGTCCTTGCCTGTTCCCTAATAGCTTGTGAAGCCTAAGCATGAGATCAACTTCATCTTCACCAAAATCACCTCTTTTTATATTTGGTCTTAGATAATTTAACCATCGTAGCCTACAACTCTTTCTACATCTGTTTAAACCTGAAAAGATCACATGAAAAATATTTAAAAAAACTACACAAGAAAACACATATGAACTTCTTTTTTTCTCCAGAAAATGATAAAAAGAACATGAAATAATTACAAGGTAAATATATGCCACCTGTTCTGAAAGGAACGAGATGCCATTTCCCCTCTCCGTATTTCTCGATGCATTTCTTGAGAAGCAAATCTTCATCAGCAGTCCATGCACCTTTCCTCAACCCTGTACCCGTATTATTACCTGGACTCATTTTATTTGTAGTTTATGCAAGTGTTGTTGTACATATATACAAGGTTGAAGTTGAGATTCTAGTTCTTTTTCTGTAGTAACAGAACTTGCTCGTTTAATAATTAATCTTTGCATAGAATTAATTACACTGAACCGATGCGCCTTTATAGACACAAATAGAAGTACATGCATGTTATTAACAATCACCCCGTCCACATAAATATATATACTTACGTGCACAATCATATTTCCACAAAAACAAATCCACACATTCGGAGCTTTAATAGATAAAAAGGTTACCGAAGTCAGAAATTAAAGAAAACAAATAATATTATATATTAATAGTATTCTATCTAAAGGCTCACATGCAAACCGGTTAAATGATTTGGATCCGAATGTGGATTAACTGAAACCAAGTTTTGAGTAAGTAAATCGATTTATCCAATCCCATAAAAAGTAACGGATTATGACATGATTTTAGTAAAGAGGTTGGCTAAGGCTACGAAGAGTGGTGTCGACATTGCTAAGAGCATCCATAATGGTAAGTTTAATGAAATAGTTGAATGATGTGGCAAATCTATGTGTCATTCAATGGATAAAACTCTACTATTGTGAGATGTCACATTGACATTCAATGGATTTGGAGTTCAATGGCCATTGAACTCTTCAATGGGAAAAGGAAAATTTTTAATTCTTAAATATTTACTATAAAGTACATTTTGTAACATCCTATTGAACTTTGTGAAGTTCAATCCATTGTAGAAAAAAAATGATAGAGTTGTATGGATTGTAGAAATATGATGTGACAATCCATTGAACTTTATAGAATTAATGCATTCTAGATGCACTAAGTGTCGGCACATCAGCCAAACATTTGCAAAAATATAGTGAATTTGTGAGTTTGTGGAGAGAAAGGCACTTTATAGCCCAGATCCCCGTCGGAAGTTCCGAGTTTCTTGTTGGCTCGCTCCTCCCTGTCTAGAAAAGACACCAATTTATTAATTAGATATCATTACAACTACTTTATTTTTGAAATATATATATATATATATATATATATATATATATATATATATATATATATATATATATATA